AGCCGCAGCCGTCATGTGGCCAACACATGCTAAGGTTTTCATTCCTCGTTTAGCACGTCGTAAGCTAATGCAGTTTCGTTCATGTTGCTGGGCTCTGGAGGCAAACAGAGCACGAAGAGGCAAGTACCATGTCCCCAGGGGGCAGCGGTTTTGCCGCTGTTGTGGTACTAATAGCCGAATCGAGGATGAAAAACACGTGTTATTGGAATGCCCAGCCTATAATGATATTCGTGCTGAAGAGGGATTCGATCATCAACAGAGCATGTTGGAGGCCATGAAATGGGAACCAGCACGTCTGGCGAGGATGTTGGAACGTATGTGGGTTCACCGAAACTCAATTACCCCCTTTGGACGCTAGTCTGGGCTGATGTGCGGTATTTTCCTTTCCTCCGTGGCTTTTAGGCGTTGTAGTATTGCCCTTGGGCCTTCGGCTCGTATGGGTAGTCTTACAGGTATGGGGTCACGCACCCGCAACCATGTAGCACACACACACACACACACACACACATACACACACACGCACCGTTATGACCGAGGCTCCCCCGCTGGCATTCTCTCCAAGGCCTGGAAGACTAGGCACGCAACGCTAAACGGCGCTTCACGCTGAAACGGGGCCGGTAGGATGGCGACAGTCGCCCCACCGACACCGTGATCTTAATTTTTATGAACGGTCCATGGGCCACCGGCTTTGACGGACACCCCCCCACCTGCGCGGACACTTTAACTTTAACTGTAATTGTAACTGTCATGTGTTGGTGTGTGAGCCGTGCATACGTTCCATGTTTCATAACCATATCCTTACAGGTTTCGGGTTAAATTGCTATGCATGCAACCCAGTAACACGCATGTGGCCCTGATGCCAGCATGTAGAACATCAAGCGCAGTAGGGTGTAGAGTAAAACTTACTCCAGGACCTCCAGTAAATCCGGCGTGTATTCAAGGAACCAATGGTGAAATGAGATCGCAAAAGAACTGGGACTCGCGAATTACTGTAAGGATGAATACGCCAAACGAAACGTATCACGCCTCGTCAAGGAAAAGGACGTACTAATATGCAAAAATACGCCTGGCGTAAAAGTTTGGTGGTTTGCTTTTACGACGGACGACCAAAATTTTAATACATACATACGGAGGCAAGGAAGGAAGTAGTGTGCATTCTCCCATGAAATCGAACAATCCACATACGCCCTGACGGAGGGAAGACCGCACCAAGGCAGGCACCGAGGCAAGGCGAGCCCCCCACCACGGCCCAGACAGCAAGTGCCGTGATGCAACTAGAGACGCACCCCTGCCCTGACTGCCCGGACAGGTGCAGACGTTATGCACGGTGCGCATGTCCCGAACTGTGTAGCCAGACAGACCGCCATCAGGTAGGTGGCCCTAAGCTACATACATACTTGGGGACTTCAGCAAAGCTGTCGCCCTACACCTGCAGCAACACCAAACTTCCCATCAACGTTCGCGAAGTCTTGGTGATGGTGATGCATTCCTGTAACGAGAATACATCATCAGTGTATGGTCGGTCATTCTTACTTCCCCGCATTCTTCCAACGTAGATAGACAGCAGCCGACAGCACGTTCAACCGCCCGACCGGACTCACATGGATGCGAGGGCTACAGCTTCCAGGAAGATAGATCAGTGGTGATTCATCATCAAGCCCCGCCGTACACATCAGGCTTCCGTATACTTCCGTACTGCCTATATTCGAGCCACGACATTTGCAGCATGTCGCATTCCTATGTATGTATACATTTAAACCAATGAAATACTTTACAACAATACGTACAATCGGTTGCGCCTAGTAACGCAACTATAACAACCTTCCGCCGGCTTCCGAAAATTTCCAAAACAGAATACCAAAACTGCCGACGGCCCGCCATCCGAACTGGACGAGATCCGTACGTTGCTAGTAGTAACGATGGCCATAACCAACACAGGCGGTTTTGAATTTTCGATATGCAACCCATCATGGCCACCAACCCATCACAAAAAGTGACCCACCCACAGCCGCCACGACCACCAACACCTTCGCTCTCAACCCACGTACAGATACGATATACGAGATACGGCTTACGAGTGCACGAATGAACGTATGTTCGTATGTGTGTGTACATCAAGAAGTGTACATAGATAAAAACAAAACGAGTTTCTCGGCGCGGGCTTCACTACAGGTAAGCTGCGCCGCCCTTACCACTCACCAGCACACCAACCGTACGAAGCGACCCACGGGTCCCGCGGGTCACACAACATACATACGCACGCACACGTCATGTCGTACTCACACGTCTGCGCACGGTTCACGAGATGTTGCAGCCGCACCCCATGCCTCTGAGGGGGTCCCGGGCGTCCATGTCGGCCACTGCACCGCTGTGTTGCATCTTCCGGAGCTGCCTGTGGATCTGCGGGGGGGGGGCGGGGACACAGGACACCGGGGGGGGGGAGTTGAAGGGAAGGGGTAAGGAGGCGGATGAGGCCCGGGGGGTGAGGTGGGAAATGTGGAGTAGAAGTCCGTCTGGAGACCCACACCTCGGAGCAAGCGGGGCCCCGAAAGGGCACTCGGGGGGTTTTGCGGTTTACATCGTAACAAATTTCGACGCGTGCACGTACATCCATGCATCCTTACATACATCCGTGCACACGCAAGCACGCACGCACCTGCGAGAAGCTGGGTCTCTCCGCGGGGTCCTCCGCCCAGCAGGCCGCAATGAGCGCCCTCAGCTCCCCGGGCCACCAGCTGGGCAGCGGCTCCCGGCTGCCGCCACACCGCCGCATCACGTACGACATCACCCCCGCCTCCGCGTCCTCCTCCGCGCTGCGGGTTGCCGCCGCCGGCAGTCCCCCCGGACCAGCCCGAGCGCCGCGGGCTGCCGCCGCCCCCGACCCCCCCTGCTGCTCCAGCTGGCAGGCGTACTCGTTGGCTATCTGGAAATGGGAGAGCAGGGGGCAGGAATGGCAGAGCGCGAAAAAGGGGGGTAAGACGAACCATTGGCGAATGGAGCAGGAAAAAGAGGGGGGTGAGGGGCTGCAAGCTGGGTGGAATGTGCCAAGTATGGCGTGCAGATGGAGGTACGGGTGACTGGGATGAGGGCCGAGGTGGGGAAGCGATTGGCAGCTGAGGCAACATTGGCCCGGGGGCGGGGTGCGGAGGCGGTGAAGGTATGTGTGAGGTATCACCTCTTAGATATCCGTACCTAGGGCTAGGCGCACAGGGTCACTATAGCGGGCGGCTCAGCCCCTCTCCCCCCCCTGTGCCGTACCTTCATGGCCAGCAGCTTCCCGGTGAACAGCTCGTAGGCGATGATGGCGAAAGAAAACACATCCACCTGCGAGATCAGGTACGTGCGCATGTATGTATGTATGTATGTATGTATGTATGTATGTATGTATGTATGTATGTATGTATGTATGTATGTATGTATGTATGTATGGTGTGGTGCGGGGTTGACCGGGTAATATGGGTGATAAGAAGCGTGGCGCGAAGGGCCAGTCCAGGGGTGGGGGGAAAAGGGCCGAAGAATCGCGGCACAGGGTTTTGAAGGCGGAGGGGGGCGATGTTGCCAATCCCCCCCCGATGCAGCTATCGCCGTGTAGCTGTTAAGGACGCCACGGGCATAGATACGCATAACACAACAGGATGAGTGTCGTACTATCGTACCTTTTCGTTATAATTCCCGCTCAGCACCAGCTCTGGAGCCATGTATACGAGGCTGCCCACCTGCCGCCGGGAAGTGGTGGTGGTGGTGGTGGTGGTGAGAGGGGTGTGGGTGGGGGAAAGGGGCAACAGGGGAGGGGTGGATCCCCGAGGACGTGTTTCTCCGCCATGTGGGGGGGCACACGTGCGCACACAGGCTATGGAATACACACACATGTAAAACAGGTGATGCCACATCGACAAACAGGATTGTGGGACCATAGATTTCACACCTAGCGAAACCCCTACACCCAGTTCTACAAGCTGCAACGTAGTCAACACGCTGCTCAGCTCAGCGAAGTGCGGCGCAGCACACAAAAGGTGTGGTTGCAGACGGATCGGAGTACTTCACCGCCACGGCCACCACGACGACGTACCTGGCGGGTGGCGTCTGCCATCCGGGCGGCGACGGACGCAACCTTCTCCTGACGATGCGCCGCGTTCGCATGGCGCTTGCCGGAGGAAGCGGCCGGCGCGGGTGCGGAAGCGCGGCTGTGCACCGTCGCTGTCGCCGCGGCGGCGGCGGCAGCGGCGGCAGCGGCGGCGGCATCGTTGCCGCTACCGCCGCCGGCTGCGGCAGGCAACGCCGCGGCGAGGCTGCCCACGTCCATACTCATCCGGTTGTCTTCAGGAACCGTTTTCATGAAGGCAGCCCGCGCAGCGGCACGGGCAGCGGCGGCAGCCAACGGCGGCGGCATGGTAATCGTACTTGCTGCCGTACTTGCTGTGAGCGCCGGCTGCAAGGCCTGCGGAGCCGGGCTAGCAAGCGCCTCCTGCTGCTGTTGTTGCTGTTGCTGTTGCAGGGCAAGTGACATGGACCGCATCAGCATGACGGCCGACGGCGCCGACCCTGCGGTTGACTCGGCGGATGTGGCCGCGGCGGCGGCGGCGGCGGCGGCGGCGCGGACAAACTCCGTAACAGAAAACGGCGCTGACTCCGGCCCCGCCGCCGGCCCTGCCACAGCAGCAACAGCGGGGATGGCTCCGCCATCTGGCGCAACGCCGCCAGGCGCCGGCGCTGGCTCCGCCACCATGGGGTTTGCCGCCGCCGCCGCTGCGCTCTCCAGCGCCATCAGCGCCAGCATCTTTCTGTGTACGCTCTCCTCTAGGCTGGCGGGTGGGACAACGTTAGGCGGCGTCCAACCTAATGGTTGATAATTCTGGGGAGCCGACGGCGGACGGGGATGGGAAGGGCCGCCGCTGGGAGGGAGCAGAAGCGGAGGTGAGGGCGGTGCACCGGCGGCGGCAGCGGCGGCGGCTACAGCCGCGGCCGCCGCCGCCACGGCTGCGTCATTCATCCCCAACAAGTCCGTCGAGCTGCTCCACTTGCTGCCGCCATTGGGAAGCGTGTCGTACCGCTTGTCGTACGCCAGCAGGTACGGCCGCTCCCGCTCCGTGACCTTGCCCTGAGGCGCGATACCCAGCTCCGCCGCTGCTTCCGAGGCCGCACGGAGGCTGTCCCCGGGTGGCAGGCTGCTGGCGGGCCCGGTGGTGCTGCCGCCTTCGTCCGCCAGTACATCCCCCCCTGCCGGCCCTGCTGCCGTTACCGTTACCGTTGTCACATCAGTGGAACAGCACGTGCCGTCGTTGCAGCCGCCACCACTGATGGCACCGTCGGCGGCTGCCGTCGGCGCCACCACGAGGTCGTTCAGCCCGACGCGATGCAGCACCGGCACGCCGCCGCCGCCGCCGCCGCCGCCACCGAGATCGTTGGCGATAGCGATGGTTACGGCGTTTGTCGCCTCAGCGGTTGCGGCCGCCAGGCCCGCCGTTGCCAGCGCGGCGTACCGGGCGCTGGTGCTGCGGTTACCATGCACGCCGGGACGGTAACTTCCGTTACCGTTGCTGCCACCAGCCATCGCGGCGGCGGCGGTGGCGGCCGACTTGTCCCAGTGGGAAGACGAATCTGCGACGGGGGAATAGGCCGTGTGCACGTATGTCCCTACGTATACATGTACGACAACATAGTTATGCCTAAGGAGTCCTTCTCGTATACCCCTGCACTTGTACGCGAGCTGGAAGTTGTGATGGGGGTGCGGTGCTAACAAATGAACACGGCGGGGGAGGAGGGGAGCGACAAGAAGAGGGGAGGGGGGGAGGAGGGAAACAGAGCGCCCGAGGGGGAGGGGAGGTGGTGCTGCTCAACCTGCTGAGCGCCACGGCACTGCTGCCGGCAGCGTAGCTTCATGCTGGCTACTGCAAACACCACTCGCACCCCCAAGCTGCAGTCCTCTCTATCCCACAGCACATGTACGGCATCCCACCAGCACGTACCGTGTGTACCGACCTAATGTACGAGGAGGAATTCGGAAACCAGCTGCCCAGCCCCCCGTGCCGACGAGCCTATACTGCCTCCATGTCCTATGCTCACTGCATAAGTGCCGTACACGCGTCGTACCAATGGTAAAGTTTCCCCGTCGGCGCCGGCCGTCCACTTACCGATGTAAGCGTTACCGCCATAGTACGATGCATCGATGACGCCCCCGCCGTTCGTTGAGAAATCTGCTCGGATGCCGCCGCGCACAGTCCCCCCCGCCTTCACGGAACCCCCGCCGTATCCTCCTCGCGCACCGCCGCCGTACATGCCGTTCCCACGGTACACGCTACCGCCACGTGTGCTCCACTCGTTGGTTACGGCAATCAGCACATCTTCCGTACGGCTGTAGCGGGCACGTTTATGCAACCCGAAGTCCGTAATCTTGGCCTGTTTTGTATTGGGGGAGGGCGCCGCGTGAGAGCAAGAAACACCGAACTGCTAACTGCTTTATCGGAGGAGGGAGCGGTGTGTGCACGTGTGCGCTCTTTTATAATGAGCTGAGCCGGGGGCCTTCTGTACATGTGTATGTATGTTTGTGTCCGTGGGGTGGGCTGTGTAGGAAGGTATCGGTTGAGGAGGGGAGGGGGATCCCGGGAGACGCTGTCATTGCCATACACACACACGCACTCGCACCTCCCCTCCCCCTCCCCCTGCCCCCTTACACACGCACACCACTCGGCCACCGGGATTGGCACCCTTTCCTGCAGCAATACTCCATTTGCCGTTACACGCACCGAACATACATACGAACACACACATACAAACACATACCCCCATGCGCACCTCCCTGACCCCCCTTTCGTTTCCCCTCACTCACCACCCGCCCATCTACCGGGCCCCCACTCAGCATGACGTTCTCGGGTTTGAGGTCCCGGTGGATGACCATGGGCCGACACGTCTCATGCAGGTAGGCACACGCGGCGGCTATGTGGGTGCACCAGCGGAGCGCGTCGACACGTGAGTAGGCGGGACTGCGACTGGTCATCTGGGGTGTTAGGGTTTGGAGGGAGGAGGGGGTGGAGGAGGGGGTGGGTTTTTCAATAATTTTAATAAAACTTGCAACCAATCCAATCATCAGCAATCTCTGGAGGTGGAGTGAAAAAAGAAAGACGCACATACATACTTACATACACACATGAATGTGCACTCTGCATTCTCCCTCCCGGAGCGCCACGTACCCCCCCCCACCTGGCGCAGCAGCATCATGCGCAGATCCCCCCCCTGGAGAGCCTCCATCACCACATAGGCGCTGTTACGCAGGGACTCCAGGGAGCTCAGGTCGTGGGCGCCCAGACCGTGAATGGAAACAATATTGCTGCGGAGGAAGGGGGGAGGTGCGCCGTCCACCAAGGATATGTACGACATCAATTCATACGAAATTCCCGAACCTACTGAAGATTGTCTTTGCTCACAGTAACGACCTGGTGAAGTTTAGAATTCATACTTTTCCCTACGCACAATTGGAAAACATGGTTGGATACCGTGGCCGGGGCAGTGCCGGCCTCAGACAGACTTCACCTTCCTATTTGCATTGCTTTCGCTTCAGAAGGGGTCCCCGGTGGGGGGGGGGTAAGACGAACCACCATGAACCGCGGGGAGGGGAGGTATTGGGTTCGTGGAGGCGTGGGTTCGAGTTTCCCCCTCCTCGGAGAAGCCGGCAGTGTCGGCCCTTAACTGATCCGCAACTTTGAGGCCCCGGGCGGGGTCCACGACCAGCCGGCCGGCAGGGGGAGCCGCAATACGCTCAGCTGAAGCGCTTCGTTGGCCATTAGATATTCTAATTGAATTCCACGTAAGAGTTTGTACAAGTGCCTGTGTAACACTTCATGCATTTTGGAATGCTGGAGGAAAGGGTTCGAATGCATGAAGTGGTGTGGGGCCGGGCGACTGCTGGCCCCGGCAATATCTCAGCCAGCAGTCAGTGTTATTCCGGTAGTGGTAGTAGTAGTAGTAGTAGTAGTAGTAGTAGTAGTAGTAGTAGTAGTAGTAGTAGTAGTAGTAGTAGTGCTAGTAGTAGTGGTTTTGCCACTACGGCGCGTGGTCGTAGGGGAGGGGGAGGAGGAGGGCGGCAGGGCGGCCCCATGAAGATAAAAACAAGGCTCGGCACCCCGCCTCCTAGAAGGAAAACCCCCTGACCCCACACGGCCCCGTCAAACAAGGGCATCAGGAAGAGCGCCCCTGGGGCCCCACCCACCGACACCCTCCATCGAGATACAGCCACGTTCCCTACAACACACACATACATACACACATACACGCACAGACAGACAACTCTAACTTTACCCCTCCCAGCACGCAGACAAGGTGCAGTATGGTGGTATGGACGGAGGTGGAGGTGGAGGAAGAGGCGGACGTGGAGGTGGTGATGTGACTCACGGGTGGTGGAGCTTGCGAACCAGGTTGGCCTGCGGGGGGGGGGGTCGGGGGGGGAGAGAGACCAGTAGGGGCCCTGGTTTGGAGGACATGCAAATGGCGGCGGGGCGTGTGAATGGAGCGGAGTGGAGTGGAAAGCACTGCTTTAAAATGTGGCAGTGAAGTGAGGGTTGGCTCGTAAAGCGCTGTGCGCGGGAGGATCTTTTTGTCCAAATAATTCCTCGTCCCCTCTCCCTTTCTTTGGCTCCTCGTCCACTTCCCTCCCTAACACAACACAACACACAATAACACCAAACCCCACCTCCATGTACGGGCCTCTTCCCCCCTTCCCCCCCTCCCCACCTCCAACAGGAACCTCCGGAGGTCCTCCAGGTCCGACAGCACCTGCGGCTTGAGGGACTTGACAGCCACAGTAAGAGAGGGGCCGCCGGGAACCATCTCCAGGCTGCAAGGAGGGGAGGGGAACGAGGAATTATTTGCACCCCCCCAACCCCACCCCGCGACTGGCGCCACCAACCACCCCGCAAACCCAAACCCATGTGAGGCCAAGGTCCGACAGGCCAGTGGGCTCTACACCAGGCCCAGGGCCCATCCTACTCCAATGCCCGCCACCGCCGCAATCAACAACCGCTTCACCACCTTCCCCCCTCTAGCCGCAACCCTTCCACACAAAACACACACGCACTCCAGTCAATATCTACCCCCACCACCGCCACCACCACCATTACCCGTTACCACCACTACTACGCTGGTGAGTGAACCCCTCCGTGTGTGTATAGCTGCTGTCGTGTGTGCGCATTCACCTCCTCGCCAGTTCCCCCCCCCCCGGCTATCAGGCCATTAAAACACACCCGCCCGCCCTCTCACCCGCAGCTCTGTACGGTAGCGAAAGCTCCCGTACCGAATGTGCCCAACTTGGTCAGGCGCTCCGGGGGAATGAACAGTTCACCGAGGAGCTCCTAGGGTATGGGTGGGGGGTATGGGTGGGTGTACGGTTGAAGGATGTTTACGGCAGGAAAAGCAGGGTGCGGGGATGAGCGTGCGGGGTTAGGGTAAGTACCCAGTCGTCTAACCTCCCTTCCTCCCGCTCCTGACCCGCCTCCTCGACGGCGTTGAAGACAAACCTCCTCTTCCTCCTCCTCACCACCACCACCACCACCTTCACCTTCCCGCCATATGGAGGCCGTCGCTCCCCTCATCCTCCCTCCCCTCCTTTAACACAGCAACTCTCCAAACTCCCAACTGATCAACCGAAGCTACATTCAAACCAACCATGCACAAACATCCACTCCCGAATTCCCCCCATCATCACTCCA